GACTCGATCCCGGGACTCCAGGATCATGACCTGAGCCGAAGGCAGTCGCTTAATCAACTGAGCCACCCAGGCGCCCTCTCAGTCTCTCTTATATGTTAGGTTAGTAGTGTGAGTCTGAGAGGGCTGATGACATTGAGGCCCTGATCCTGCTACTCCACTGCATTGCAATTGAACGTGGAGTTGATTTACATACAGGAAATTCGACACTTAGAAACCATAATTCTCTGCACCACCACCCCTACCACTGCACATGGGTGCTGGGACGAGCTCCTGGCCAAGCCTGCCTTGTCTCCGCACCGGCCCCTTGACTCCACCCTCCTGCTACTCTTTACCCCTTCCTGAACTTCTTATAGCCTTAAAATTGTCACCAGTTGGAAAGCCATGTGACCTGACAAGCTCCCCTCCTGAAATGCCCACCTTTCCTCAGCTCTCACCCAGGCAGAAAAGTGGAGTGTGGACAAATGGCCACCAGGCTGGTCTGGGGGCACAGGAGAGGCACAGATGGGGCTGGGACGGCTGACACTAACCTGAGGTAGGCTTCTGAGGGCTAGCCTGTCACTCTGCCGCTTCCCAACCTTCTGGCCCATCCTCATTGTGCACCAAATCCTTCGGAAGATGTGTTCTCACTTCCGAAACTGCTCTCATGTCACTCTCACTACTGCAGAGTTCCTGTTCCTGCTCCCAAGTGCCACAAACCCCTCCTTGCAAAGTCCTCCAAGGTGGCCTCCCCTACTGGTGGCCAAAATCAGCCCCACCTGGTGGTACCTGGTCACCAGGGCCATTGGAATGGCCTTGCCACCACCCCCACTGCTGTTGAGGGTACCCATCTGGAACGCACCACTGTCCATGGCAGGAGAGCCATTTCGTGGTAAACCCCGCCCCCCACCACGATCTTCGGGGCACCAGAGTGAGGAGGGAGCTCACAGGCCGGGCAGACTCAGGGACAAAGTCCTTGCCCCAACTCAAGCTCACCCTTTGGCCCCTGGGACCCAAGGCAGCTCAGCTATGTTCAGGGCTACAGAAGCCCTTCTGCCGCTTCCTCTCTCCTCCCACTGCCTTGGGCTCTAATCCCTCAAACCAGACTAGTTTGTGGGGCCTGGCTCCAGAGCAGGTGGGAAAGGGACGCCACACTCTCCCCTCCCACTCCCCACGGTGCCGGCCAGCTTCGAGACAAAGACTCCGTGCATATCAATGGGAAAGCAAACAGCTAGCTG